CTGGCATCGTCTGGCATCGTCTGGCATCGTCTGGCATCGTCTGGCATCGTCTGGCATCGTCTGGCATCGTCTGGCATCGTCTGGCATCATATATTCATAACCTCAAAGCAACGACGAGGTCCCATATCGGCATATTCAGTCTATCATCCTAAGCCCGAAAATGGACCGATACGTCGATCCGCAGCATGATGACTGTCTGGGGCACATGAAAAGTTCGGTGCCCATGAAAGACGCATTGGAATGATGGAGAGGCGGTATATGTCACAGATTTCCGCTGCGACTGGAGCAGAATGGGGAAAACATCGAGCCCTGCGTGGGAGGCTGTGGTGACGTTTCTTGAGTCATCCAAGAGGAAGGATCATCCCGGCTAAATTATTCCAATATTCATTGAGTGGCGTCAGGGGAAGTCTCGGTGATAGGTCCACCACGCTTCTGGAAGTTGCCCTGCATCCAGCAGCGGTACATCTTCTGCTTGGTGCCGCGGTTGACGATCAATCGTCGGTCAACCCCCATGTTGAGCACCTCAAAGGCTCCATTGTCCTTGGCCAACTGCTTGGCCTCTTCGGATTTCTCCTCCGCGGGCTGAGACTCCTCAACGGATCCATCAGCGTCATAGCCCAGAGGTATTTGTATGCCTTCTTGGGCGGACCAGGTTCCCCACATATCGACAAGCTGGTCCTTTTCAAAGAAATAGACGCGCGTGCCATCGCCACGAATGTAGAAGTTCTCGGCCATGTAACGGCCTTTCTTGAATCGCACTTGGGCGAGGTCACCGCGACCATAGTCACGGAAGAGTACACGACCACCGGGCTTCAAGAGGCGATAGATATTGCGAATGGCATGATCCCACTGATCAGGGGCCAGAGCGGAGAAGATGAAAATGAGGATCACCACATCGACCGAGCCTTCGGTCAAGCCGGGTGGGAGCGAATCGCCATCCTCGTTCGGCACACGAGATGCGTCCCAGACATCGGCAGACATATACTTCTCGTTGTAATGCTCGCTCTCGCGCATAACTTTGACGGCATACTTGGAGTAATCGCAGGCATGGAGCTTGAATTGCTCGTTCTCGTTGTTCGCCAGCAATGGGAAAGCAGTATTTCCAGCTCCTGCGCCGACCTCCAGAACGACCTTGGGCCCAGCGTCCTTCTGAATCACATCCGCAAGGATTGGGAACTCCTGGCGCAGCCATTTGCGATCCTTGAAGAAATTGTCTGTGTTATTTTTATAAAACAAGTCCCACCACTTCGCAGGGTCATTGTTGAATCGTCTGCGATCGAAATCTGACACCCGTGTTTCTCGCTGTTTCGCATACTGGGTTTGGGCGAAGGCCTTGAACTCATCGTCTGGTTCAACATGATCCCAGGCGTTGAATTCAAAGACATCGTCGCCCTTTTCGAGGTGTCGCGAGCCGAATTGGAAGGGGTCGGTTCGTTTCATGTTGTTGCTCGGGTCATGGGACCGAGAAGCCTCGATGTGGTTAGGCTCAACATTTTGAGTCACTTGCTCGATGGTAGGGTCAACAGTCATGGTGGAAAACTTGACAGAGGCGCTATGGTCTGGAGTTGGGTATTTTTCCGCCAAAATGATCGTCAAGAAGAAGGCGGGGAGAAATAAAAAAAAATCCAGACGGACCGCGATTGGCGGGGTGTTACGATCACATGACTATATTTTGCCCCTGCTTTTTGGCGGCTCAACTATGTGGGCCAATTATAGCCAGGAACTTCTCCACCGCCCAGCTTATCATCTTCGGTCTTATCGCTTATCGCCAATCAGTCTCCAAAGCAGCGGAATAGCTTGTTCAGCGTCTATGCACAGCCCCGGGCAGTATTCCACTGGTTTCAATGATTGAGCAAAAACCTACAGCAGTCTCTAAAACAGATCAATATGTTGTATTTATGGAAGTGAAGCGCAATATTCCAAGGTTGTCTGCCTCAGGCGCATATCGCTTATCTTATCCGAATAGGGTTCCGGGAATTTGGATGCCTGCAGGTGCCTCGCAGTGTCAGCCCTGACCTGGCCTTTCTTTCATTCCCTCTGATTTCCTTTCTCCCTTCCCCAAAAGCATGCTGCTCTAATTCAAGGCATATATACAAGTCTGCCTGTTGCGTTGGGTCTGGGGCTTATCTCAAACCAAGTGGGGTGATTCCACTATCAGCTCTTGAGGCTCAACATCTAGACTTCTACGACACAACACTGAAGTTGTTGTACTGCAAATCTTCATATATCACGACCTTTTTGCTTTGTCAAGCCCTGATTCTATCTTTGTGGATGCCAATTAGAGCATAGCATTCACATTGGATCATGTCTTTCCTCGCTGGACTGTGTGGGTGCTTCGTCCGAGACGAGACGGACGAAAAGTCCCCGCACTCCTCATCGCCCGAAACTGTGCACCAAAGGTCAGACCATAATCGAGTGCAGACAGGGAGTTTTACCCTGTCCAACAACGGCCAGTTCATCCGCACTGAGAGTCCAGCTGGGGTAAATGGGCACGGACCCCCCACTGACTCGGAGGATGAGGGCTATTCCAGCGTGGTCCCGCTCCCGGAGTACACAGCCCGTCCCATGAGCCTCCATGAGAAGACTCTCGAATCCCACATGCGTGACCCATCAGTCTCATCCGAGACCCTATCCTATCCTCAGGATGAAAAGAACCGTCAACTTTACGACGAGGAAGTCACCTCCGATAGCTCTTCAGCGATTTCCTTCCCAAGCAGCTTCGGCAACACCTCGACTGCAACAAGAGAGACTCCTCCTCCACCTTATTCTCCTCGTCACTCCGTGATGATGAGTCGGTCTCGGTCTATGTCTATCTCATCTGCCATGGCGGTTGTCATCAATCCACCTCCTTCGGCTCGTCTGAACGCCTCACGGACTGGGCCTACATACTCCGAGGATGACAATAGATCTATTCGCCGTCACCGCCGGGTCTCCTGGGAGAGTCGGTGATCCACCGTCCAAGAAATTGCGAAGAGCACACCCCTCCATCACCTCTGGCTTATCAGCCCTCACTTTAATATCTCCCCTGGCTTTGCTTGGAATCCAACGATCTGGAATTGTTGTTCCAAAGACTTTTCATCTTTATTTTTGACATTTGGATGTACTACAATTGCTTCCGCTATCTGTCTTCCTCGGCACTTGCTTTGGTTTTCCTTTTGTTTGTTGCATACGACACGACGATCTTCATCTCTACTGATCGGACATTTATGATCGAATGATTATGACATTACTTCGCAGATGGTGCGAAAATGGGGCGTGAGTGGTAGTTTTAGATACATAATATTAGCCTGCATATGGATTGCTCCTTTGACATACTTGCGCTCTGGCAGACGCAACAACCAATAGCAATGTGATTATGATTTTGAATATTTTCTTTTCTTGCGATTCTCATAATTCTGACAAAACAAAGTCTGCTATTGTAAGTGGTAGCACGGAGTATAAGTGAATATGTAAATTGACACATCAACCCAGTTCCAAAACCTCTGCCCGTTCCTGCTCATGTCGCAGCAGATACCCACAACATGAAGCCGGAAACTCCAACATCTTCAAGACAAGGGGATCAGAGCTATCCTCTAATGCCATGCAAATTGCAGTACACTCCGAGCGAACCCTCATCTCAACCCACCATTCCTCAACATAGCACATCAGTCCAAGCCACCAAGCCAACAAAACCAATGCAGCAGTATCCTTCCTGCACAAACATTCAAAGAATGGATTCTCAATCCTCCCCATCCAAGTATTATATTTCTGAAAACTGACCGTTCCGCGCTCAAGCGGTAATAGACCCGTCAACATACGCAACGGCCACAACAAAGGACTCGACTCAACAGTTGTATCCTCTGTGATGCCGCAAAGATCCGCCAAGTCCGGATCAAGACCAACACGACCAGATCGCTTATCCTCGAAATCGATATTCGGATCCCGTGACTTCATGAATACAGTCCACCACATGCTTTCTGGAAGCCATTGCGATGCTTGCTGTAGGAGATAGCGTAGGCCACCCTGTAACCGGAGCCAGTTCAGGGCTGCTGGGTCTGCAGAGAAGACGAAGGAGGTGCGTGGGCTGAATTTCTCTTGAAGAAAAGAGTGCATGCTTATCATCATGCAGGCAGAGTAAAGCTTGTCCATGTTCTGACGTGTTACGGGCATTGAGACAGCCATCGAGTATTGGTTTATTGTCTGTTGCCAGTGGTATGCTTCTGCGATCCGGTACTCTTTGTTGTCTGGGAGCAGAGTGCAGAGGTGTGTCGTTGCTGCTCCTATTATAGAATGCATGAGGAAGGGGGTCTGTTAGATGATTGATTAGATATCTCTATTAAGCATGATGCGCACATTGATATCCGGATTGTAAAGTAAAGTAAGAATAACAGACGAGGTACAAGGGTAATGGTGCTTACTTCGAAGGCAAGTCCGACCATTTTCCCCATCACCACCCGGACGGGGTCTGGACTTTCATCTGAGAAGGCTGGGCCTCTATGGAAATGATTCAAGGCCTGCATTGTACGATGCACCGCTGACGCATCAGTGAGCTCCTTTGGAAGCAGCTTGCCCGAACCGGGTGGGCGTAGCAATTCGCTGAGTTTGTCAGAAACCATCATGAGAGAAACCGATGATGCCAAAGATTCAATCGATATTAGCTCGGGATTTGTTTTAATAAACTCAGACACGATGTTGTTGTTCGTTTTTGAATGTTGGATTGGCTTTCCCGTGTATTCACATCCAACGCCGTGTTTCTGGCACCGGATACAATGAGGCTTGGCTTCATCACACTTTGATCACCGTCAATAGCTTCCCAGATAAGGAGTACTTGGTAGATTCTTGGGATTATTTGAAATACCTTGACTCGGCGTTGTTTGCAGTTCACACATCCAGCGCGGGATTTCCGATGGGACCTGCGGGCATGATAGACTTGACCGGAGGTTTCCTCGGGCCCACCCTCTGGGAGTGTTTTCTGTTTGTAGTTTGGGACCCGGAAGACCAACTTTTGTCCTTGCATAGGCCTGTGCGAGGTTGGGATCGATGTCTGTTTGGACGGCATACTGGGCAAGCTTGTCCAGGTAAGGACTCGAGCTTAACAATCGAATTCCCTCATGTAGATAATTTAGGTGAAAGGGTGGTTTCTGTAGACTTTGAGAACTTGCGCTGGGCTGAGGTACTCTAGGCTCTAAGCCCGGATCAGGTAGCGTGCATGGAGGCTCAACTCGGTGCAACTGCGCCCTGTGAGCTTAATCAGCCTGGGAATACCATTCGCTAGCAAGCAACACCCGATTAAAGTCGTGGGGTTATAGTGGCGGAGTGGGGGAGGCGAGAGAGAAAGATGATCGGCATCATCTCCAGTTCACGAGACGCTAGTCCCTATCAGGCAATCCTCGTATTCATCGCTTGGCAATGGGCATCAACGTGAAGATCAAAGAAGGAGCACCAAGAGTCGGGTCTACGTAGTAGTAATACGCAGTGAAGACAGGAAGTGTAGACACCAGATCAGAGAGGGAGCTGGGTGTTGGGAAACACCATGCAATTCATCATTCATTGAGGGTCGTCTATCGACCCATGCGCATCAATATCTCATACTTCATACGTTGATAGTTAGTTTTGCGGAGAGCGATGATCGACCGCTAGATGCTTATGTAGAGCTTAGCCCATCTTCGCATTGGAGAAATCCATCTCTGTACCATAAGTTAGCGAACATTCAACCAGAGGCGAATGCGATATTCCAAGGACGAGGAACGAAACGCTAAAGGAACCGCAAAACAGTCACTTACCGGGATGCTCGGCCTGGAACTTCTTGAGTAACTCCATTTTCTTCTGCTCGTCGCTGCTTGGGCCACCCATCTCCTTCTGTCGCTGGTCATACATCATCTTCTCGACCATAGCGCGGGTCTCGCCATCCAGATCTCCCAGGTTGGAGTTCTCCGGGGAGATCTTGGTGACATCGATCTTGGGCGCAGTGGTCACGACATGAGGCCACCACTCCATCTTGTTTGTCTTATCGAGATGGATGTTGATTTCCTTCCCGGGCGGGGTGGGGGTGGTCTCCAAGGTCCAAGAGGACTCATCGACACGGATCGCGTGGGGGAAGTCACCCTAAAGACGGAGAGAAACCGGTTAGCTTTCTTGCTTGGTAATTGAAAATGGTCTGATATGGTGTGATTGATGCAAGCGATGGGGCATACCTCAATGAGGGGCTCTTGTCCCTTGATCGCGACGCTGATTTTGTTCTTGGTCAAGACCACATTCAAGTCACGACCTTTGAGATTGCCGGGGATGGGAGCAGTGACGTCGAGGTCTCGAATCGTCTGTGTCCATTTGTAGGGGAGCTGGGCTTGTTCCGCATCCTCGCGGGCCTTGCGCTCCTTTTCCTCGCGTTCGCGTTCGGCCAAGTCCGCGGGGGAGGGGTTTTGATCGGGATCGGCAGACATGACGGGCACGTCAGAGAGAAATCAATGATTCGGTAAGGGGGGATAACGGTGAAAGTAGGTGATTTAGTTGGGCCGAGCGAAAGCTCAGGGAAATGTGGAGCCTTGGGCATTTCTCCGTTAGCGCTTTTGCCGCCCTGCTATTGCCCTATGGTAAGGGGCTTTCTCCATACGAGTACATAGTACGAGTAGTAGGGAAATACTACTCCGGACACTCCCTACTCTGCCTCACCGATCTATGACAATGGGTTTGTGCGCCTTTAAAGCGATACCCTGCATTTCACTGCATATTGTGAAACGTGGATATTAACCGGCCACAAGCGCGCGAATTCCGGCGGTGATATTCAAAATGATCATCTCATGGATGTATTCTCGAACAGGGGTCATCCTTGACAATGACGCTAAGAGATTCCAAAGGTACTTGCTTTTTGTTTCTTGACGTTGTTTTCCCAACCTTGGAAAGTTCCCAAGGTTGTATGGCAAGGGGTAAGGAGGCTCTCGGGTAGAACCTGTGGAGTAATTTAAAAGGGCTACATGTGAAACAATAACTCCGACTTCTGCAAAGGGTTCTTGCTAACTGACACCCGGTAACGTGGCGCAGCTTGTCAAGGGCAAAGTGATGAGCACAAGCAAAACATCCAGAGCACACCGCTCAAGATTTCATCACAACTGGGCTGTGAAAGGTGATCTCCTTCTGTTTCGAGGCAACTTGGCAACTTACATGGGTGGCTGACTTACCCGGTCCTCTGCAACCATGACATGCATAGGCTCAGACAAGTTAACGACTGTGATTGATCAGAGTCTGTGATGAGCAATGCAAGTGTATGTGTTGAGAAGCAAGGCCAATCAATCAATAGACCAGTGGTCTCCACTGGAGGCTCTCTCCAATGCAACTAAACACATCGATGCGAAAAATAATAGACTCCAATCAGGGTTGAAGTTGTCTGCAATCAAGATACTTAAGTATGAATTTTTCGAAAAAAAAAGAAAAAACAAAACTCTGGAAAAATAGATAAAATATGTATTGGGGTATTCTCTCATGCGAGTATGTGAAAGCGAATGACTGAAGCAGTGTGCCTCGAGGTATAAACTCCTAATCTAATCCCAAATCCCCAATGCTCATGCAATAAACGCAATGCAAAAAAGCAAACACTTCAATCCCAGTCACCAATAACTCCTCGGCTTGCATAGGCGGTCTTGGATGTGGCGTGGATCATCGCTGCGCGGCTTGATTTGACTTTCTCGCCTGCTCATTTTCTATGATAGCTGTCAGTCTTCTTGACTTCTGCATATGTCAGTTTGGAGGGGTGAAAAAAAAAAAAAAAAAACTCACCTCGGATCTTTTCGATCTGCTTAGCTGTGTCTTGAAGCATCTGATCCCATTTCTTCTGGTATTCCTCAACATTCAAAGGTCGGGTATCCTTGGGCTCTTGGTCTTTTGGGACTTTGACTTGATCCATGGTGAACAGTGTAGAAAGGGACTTTGAAGTCCTGAGGTCTTTGAAGGGTGTGTAGGCTTGTAGTCTTGTAGGCACAATGGGAGGTTTGAATAGGGGAATAATGACAGATGGCAGTGGCTTTATATATCGGAACAAAGATTAAATCTAATTTTTCTCCCGGATTTTCGGTGGAAAATAATATAATAATTTAATAATAATAAATTGCCAGGAAATTCGAATCCGAACAAAAAGGATAAAAAGAATAAAAAGGCAACAATCGAACAAATCCCAAATGTTTGCTTCGGAAAGAGACCGGTCACGCGTCTACGCATTCACCGACATCTCCCCTTGGAGCCTAAACCTCGAAGGGGAAGGCGGACCGCTTAGCCCTGCGCCAGGGACCAGACTCACTTGAGGGACTAGTTAATATAGAGGATATCCAACATGTCTCATTGGTGTTGAGCAAATGGGGGGGGGGGGGGGGGGGGGGGGGGAAAAAAAAAAAAAAAAAAACCCCCGCGCGGGTCTCTGGGGTGCTCTTTCTTCGTCCCCTCCGAGGTCTTCTC